GGGGGATCTACCCAAAGATGAAAGAAAATCCATTGTGGCTCTTTTGCAGCATTAACAATGGGCGATGGAAAAAAATACATATGTACACTTGCCGCAGCAGCCGAGCCTTTTCCAGGAAGAGCGCGCAGAACAGCACATTTTGTTCGCATCAAAAGGTTTAACAAGGGGTTTTTATATATTTTTCTTCTCCTCCCCTCTTGAAAAGCCGCTCGCGCTGGTGTTTCTCGCCCTCGGCGCCGGGAGAAGGGATTGATGTTTAACAGGGGGTTGGCGTCCGCGCCGATCCGCCGCACTCGAGGCCGGTCCGTGGAGGCTTCCGACAGCCTTTCCCACCACCAGGATGGCCACAGATCACCCCAGCACAGCGGTACCAACACACCGAGAGCTTGGATAAGCACAAAACATCAGGAATTGCAGCAGGAAAGAACTTTAAGTGGGAAGACGCTATGACAAGACCGCCCGTATTACAGCTCCCATGGGAATGTTACACACTGCTGAATTGCAGGACTTTTTTCATCTACCTTCCTTGGGGAGGGGAAAAAATAAAAATAAGGCCAAAGAACCGAGCATCACGTGTGAAAACCCCATCTCCAACATGCTCCATATGCACCAGGGACCTCTTAAAACTAAAGAAAACAAAATGTGCTCTATATCAAAACTTTAAAACATCTCCTTACTACTTTCATATTTCCCCCCAAGGCCCATCAACCACACTAAGGGCTCAGGGAGGTCTCCCAAGGAGCCAAATAAATAACAATTCCCAAACTCTGTGGGCATCTACTGGCATTTTATATGAAGCAGAGGTGCTCTGGCATGAGCAGGCCCGCCCGACCCAATATTCACAGTTCCTATTGCAAGATTTTCACTAAAACAAAGCAAACCAAAGAAAAGGGCATGGAAACGGTAGGGGCAAGCAGCTCGGCTCCCCCGGCCTCTCCATCACCACCTACTTTAAAAGGAGGGAAAAAATAAAAATGAAAAGGGAAACACTGTCCTTTTTTGTTGGACAGCTTGATGCAATGTGATAAGTTCCTGTGGAACGTTTTGACTCTAAGAAATGACTCTTTTCCCAAAGAAAAGCTTTCTGCGAGAATATATCCTGTCAGCTGTAGCCCCCTCCTTTACATCTGTTTTCAAGATGAGCGGACCACAGTTTTTCCCACCTGCTTTTTTATTTACTTTTTTCTCCGCTGCTCAGGGAACCACTTTTTTTTTCCTTTTTCAGATCCTTGTCTTTGAAAGGAACAGTTTGAATTAAGGTAACAGCCTCTCTCAGACGAACTGCAAACAAAACAGGGCAAATTTGCTTCCTATACACTTGAGACAGAGCAGCAGAGAGGTACAGAAATGCACCCATGGGGAGGACTGGATTGCCAAGCAATCCCTCCTATAAACCTGAGGGAGAAGGTTGCCTGCCAGTCGACCATTCCAACTGTATTTATGGATCAGCATTTTAATTTTAGAAGACCCTTTCTTACCTCCTACGCCTTAAGAAGGGATTTTAACAGAGCAGGAGCTTGTGACTAAACCCCGTATGGAAACACAAGCGCCACAGAGCAGCCAAGGCAGCTGTGCAGGCAGCCGAGAACCATCATTCCCTAATTTTGAATTCCAAGCCCCGCCACACGACTGACCTCAGGCCTAAGTGGGTGAAGCAGAGGACGTGGGGACATTATGGGCTGCAGACACACAGCACCATCCCGGCCGGTTCACCCGACTGCATCTGCTTTACCCAACCAGAGGAACTCGTCCGTTTTACCTGATGTTTACCAAACTGCAGCTGCAGGTGTTGGCCAAAACGAAGCTGAGATTTTATTTGGGGAAAAAAAGCCTCGGAACAGTGTTTCTTAACTAGAATAATGCATCCAAGCCCAAAGCATCCACTCACTTGCACTCAGTTTACATGTCAAGTATTTTAAATCCACAGACAGGATATTATCTTCAGTCTTGTTATCCATCCAGGCTTTTTTCCTCCCGAAGCATCTACAGTTTTTCCACATGGTTTCCCCYCCCCCCCCCCCCCCAAGAACTTCAGGAAGATGTTCCTTAAATTATTCATTTTTCACATACTACCAAGTTATTTAATAGCTCCCGAGCCTTTTCTACTGCAAGTCCAAATTGGAAAGCACTTTATAACTTGTTGAAGAAATCCTTGCACATACTTATTTTTTTCAGAAATGCTGACTAACTTAATGTGCCGTTACACTAGTAAAAATAATAAAGGGCAAACTGTGAATCTGTGGGACAAATCCCAGCAGCTTACAATTTGGAGAAGAAAAATCAAGAAAAACACAAGCATAGAGGATAAATGAAAAACAAATACATATCAAGCTTTATTAAGTGATCACTTGGTTCAATATATGGAATGTTATCCTTCCTTAACTATCACACTGGTTGTAAAAGAAACGATGGATTTGTTTATACCCATAAATGGGTCAAATTCATGCCCGGGCCAATCCTTTCCAAACATCTCATTAACTGCACCACATGAGGGCTTTTGTTTTAGTTAAATAGACACACCCCCTGACTTTCTGTTCAAGAGTCACTGCTGCCTTGCCATTAGCACACGCTGCTCTCCTAGCCCTGCTGACAAGGAGCCCAACTCAACACCCACATTTAGTGCTACGTCCTTCTCATTTGGAGGTGAAAAAGCTCAAATGGGCACCGTGATTTTGGGCATTGGAAGCAGGAGAGCGTCGCCTTTCCGCTTGCAAAAGGCTCTTCTGCCCCGAGTTGGGGGTGTCAGTGACATTCCCTAAAGGCTCCACTGTCCCTGCTCCCCGGACAAGTCCTAGACTCCCATCCCAGCAAGTCTGCCCTGGTGTAAACATCCTTTCCCCTTGCACCTCCCTCACTGCCTCTCAGACAGACTGTGGAGACCATCCGCCTCCGTGGCGGGGAAAATGACCCTTGGAGGAGCTGCTAACGCTCTGGCAGACCCAAATCCTTGTCATTCATGGATTTTCTCTCCCAACCAGGCAGAGAATTAACAGCACAACAAGCAGGAACACCGCTACCGCGACGCCTAAGCTGCAAACCCAACAAACGGCACTTCATGGGATGCACGTGTTCGGAGAATCGATTCCTCTCGTCCCCAAAGCCCCGCTGCCAAAGTACAGCTGGAAAACAAGCCAAGCGCAGCAAGCCCCGACGTGGCAAACCAGTTCCACAAGGTAAACACGGCCGCCCGCTGCGCGCGACGCCCGCAGCCCGGGAAGGCTGAGGCAGCACAACTCGCTGCTGAGCTCAGCCCAGCAAAGCCCTTCTCGGCGGCCTCGTCCTACCAGCCCGGCCTAGCAGCCCGTCCTACCAGTGCGGCATTCCCAGAGCCGGCGCTCGCAGCTCGCCCGGGCAAACCAGTCCAAGAGCTGGGGCTAAACCGCCCCGCGCAGCTACAGCGAGGCTGCAGGACCAGCCGGGCCGAGGAAGGGAGCCGAGAACCGCACCGGGAGAAGCCAAAAACAAATAGATAAATAAATAAAATAAATACCACCAAAGGGTCGTTTTGACTTTAATTATCACGGACGACTGAAATGGATGCAACTGGGTCCCCAGAAAACAAACACTCTGCTCTACAGATAATAAGAATTGAATGCTTCTGAAAAAGGAGAGAGAACCACCCCCCCACACACAGCACATCTCCCTTCAGTACTTAAAGGAGGCCGATTAAAAAAAAGGAACCACCTTCTCCCACAACCCAACTGCTCCGGATGCTGCACCCTACTAGCTTTTGACAGCCATCAGCAGGAATTTCTATCATCTTCCTTGGCATTACTCACTTATCACTCCTCATACCTCGAAATTTTCCATAACCAGTATGAACTTTCACAAACGGTTAAAATCAACACAGGGAAGTTTATAGTTCTTGTTGGCTTTGGCGCTGGAGCTGTCAGAAACCACACTGTGAAGAGTGTTAAATATCCTGATTTATATTCCAATTGAATCAAGATAACATCTATGTACAGAACACAATGTACCCTTCAGATTCACTACAGCTGTCAGATTCATTTTGCCGTGATATCCAATCCCTAGATGAGGCAGAGAGGTATGTAGGACAGCGAGCAAGTAAATCCCCATGATTTTGGTTTGCTTTTCAATCAGGCTGTTCTGCATTATATTCCAGCCAGAACCCAGGCAGAAAATGCATTTTTTGAAAGAGCAGTTCCCTGCTGCCAACATAACAAGAAGAAGAGTTTATTTGAGATCTTGACAGCAGAAGAAGGGCAGCAGTGTGGTTTGGAGGCCTTTAGAAGGTCTAGGTTTAAGCCTCTGCCTCCCCAATCCTTGCCCTTATGTAACTGTGCAGACATCACCCTCCTCCTGTGCCTCAGGTTGGCAAGAACAGAGACCTGGGCTGGGAGGATGAAGCACCGCGGCCACTGCAGAGCGCCAGGTGAAAGAGGAATGGGAAACACAGAGAAACCACCAAAGGGGAAAGAAACAAAACCCCTCAGTTTTGCAAACGAGACTGCTCCAAGAGAAAAACTCTTGTTATTTCCCTCCTGTGCCACACTGCAAACCTGCAAGACCCAGACCCCCAGTTGAGCCTTTTCCAGCTCACTGTGCGTTTTAGCGCAGGAACAAAGCACTGATTTTCGGGAGCGGGTCTGTCTCGGGCAGATCCCCGGGATGCCAACGCTGCCCCCTCCCACAGCAAGGCCGTGGGCAGAAAAGGCCGTGCAGCAACCGAGCCTGCTCGCTAGGCAAGAGAGCTGAAAACATCGTGTACTACTCGATAAAAGCCACTCCACAAAAGCTTGGTCTGATGCCTGCGGTTCCCCGCAGTTTTCCTCAGTGAGAGTCCCATCGGTGCAAACACCATTTGTTTCACACCAGATTCCAGCTACAGAGGGCATCTTTTTTTTTTTTTTTTTTGGAAATAGCAGCGGACTAGACCTGAAACCCCCTCCCCTGCCCCCTGTTCAGTCATGGCTCTTGAAACTGCTTAAGAATCAGTCCCAGAACCGGACAAGCCAGTATTACATCAAATTAATTCCTACCCATTGGTGGTGCTCTGGTTGACTGTAGATGCCATTGCAATCTTTCCATTTAAGTCAGCTCATCTGGAAGAGAGAGAAAAAAACATATATTTAGCATATTTCCTCTGTAGAAGAACAGCACATTGCATTCAGCAGAGGGCACTGAAGCTTTGCTCTGTCAGAGACTTCCTCAGGAACATCCTTCCTCAGAGACCAAAGGGAGAGAGAAAAGGGAGAATTAGTAAGTAACCCTGAAATATCTGTTCCATCTGAAGCAAGCCTAAAATGTTTGTTACCATAAACAACTAGTCGCCTTTTCTGTGCATTTCCTCTGTGTGTGCACGTGCACACAGGTTTTGTGACTCCCTCCTATCTTCCCAGCAGCCTGAATCAACATCCAATTACTTGCAGGACAGTGGTGTGAAATGCCACGCAAGAAGAGGAGTAGAGGTAACCTAAAAAATACCATGACAAACTCGGCCAGGCATGTGGCAACCCACACTACCAGCGTAGGTTCCCATGATCCGGTTAAAGAATGAATCTGCCAGCGCAGCGCTCCCGACCATCCAAACATCCTTCTGAGGAATGGAAATGCCTGGGCGGGAAGGACAGAAGCAAGAAGGAATCAATATGGGTTAAAAATACAGCTATAGAATTAAAGGCATCATTAGAAAAGAAAAAATTCACAGTAGCAGTGGGGAGGAAGGAAGCAGGACAGAAGGGGAAGGATGTTGCAGCAACTGGGGTAAGATGCCAAAGCCCCTCTTGTCGTTTTAACGGCACTCGAAGCCAGCGGGACACTCAGGGTAGCTCCAAGTCTTGGAGTTGCTCAAGGCCACACGAGTTTGGCGCGCTCCTTCCTCGCACAGCCCCGGTATCCCTCTCTCCGGTGCCTCTTCCCTGACCTGGCCCAAACACATCTTTAGTTCCTGAGCTCTGCAGACCTAGCAAAGCACGTGCAGAGATAACTGTATCCAAAGAGGCTGTGGGACGCTTGCTGCAGGGGTGCTGTTCTACAAGGAGCTGTGAACACAAGGAACCCACCTGGAAGCACAAAGGCAAGCGGTGCAGTCCCACAGTAACACAGGTACAAACCCATTCCCGCCAAGGGGAAGAACCTCCAACGGGAACAACGAGCACTGCAAATGCTTTCGCTGCAGTTGGCGACACGGGTGCCCCGTACCCCGACCTCCCGAGGGAGCAAAGCGGTTCATGGCTGCAGGGCAGGCCGCAGCAGCGCTACGCGGGGCCACGCGAGCTCGATGAAAGCGGCTGGAATTAAATAGCAGCAGATGCTCTGGTGCTGGGATGAAGAAGCTGACCTGACCTCCGGGTCATGGCTTTCATCCCAGGTCACCTACCATCAGGCGATCATTCTGGGGAGCACACAAAGACATGGGCCCCTAGACATGGGAATCCCTTCAGATGCGTGTGGGTAAAGCTTACAGAGCAGATCTCAAAGTGAAGAAAATAACTCAATAATGTACATTGCGTCCCAAGGGTCATGACGGTTGTAACCATCTCAGGTGAATAAAAAACTCTTTAAAGAATTTAGGTAATATTGTGATAGAAGAGGCAGACTGCTGCAATGGCATCCACGAGAGCTGAAAACGAAGGTGGGACAAGTAGTAGGCATGTACTGGGAAAACCTCTTCTAACTGGGCTTTCAATTTGTATTTATTTTATCCTGTGCTCCTAGTCTTAAAGCATTCAGATGGGTTTCCTTTGGTGAAACAGGGATCTTGCTTTATAACGGAGACAGAAAGTCAAGGACTTATCATTTGCTCTACTGAAGTATTAAAAATAAAATTCTAATACTATTTAGAACCGTTCAAAATCTCATGAGGTAAAAAGGGATTAGCAACTAGACATTTCCCCCCACATAAAAATACCATGGTCCATAGGCTCCTAAAGGCGAAATCACAGCAGGTCCAATAATCGGGAATGTTATTATACCATAACACGGGCAGCAGGCACACCTGACGGAGTTGAGGGAGAACGAAGAGCGAACGACACAGACATCACGTAGCCCGTGCAGTGATATTCCACATGGCATCCCCCCCGGTCCCAGAGAGCCGGCTCCGCTTCAAGAGCCCAGGTGGGGCACGTTAATCAGGAGAAGATGAGCTAAAGGTGAGGCAGTGGAGAGCGGCCTGGATACAGGGCAGGAAGTCCCCCCAGGCGGATCCATGGGGCGGCTGGGGGGAGCACTGAGCTCAAGCGGACGCAGCTGCACGGCCCAGCTCCGCAGGGCCTCGCTCAGGGACGTGTAACTGGGAGCCTTCTGCTCCAAAGCCAAGCCTGGGCCCAAGGCGAGGGGAGATGGGACAGTCAGAGGCCTGTGCGGGCTGGAGGGGTTGTCCCAGCACAGCTCAATCAAGGTGTAAAACTAGCCACGGACTCGCTAGGTCCACGATATTAAACACTAACTACCACACTGGCGTTGCATAAAGTAAACAGAGGCCTGCCTAAACTCAAGACAGGGGCAAACCCAAGCGTTGCTTGTGAGCCTAGATCAGGCGGGACAAACATCTTGGTGACGTGCGGAAAGAAACAGCCCAAGGAAGGCCGTTTTCCGTACCTAGGAGCCGCAGGAACCCCAATGACTCTGGGGGGGCTCAGACCTGCACGAGCGCAGCGCGACGGCGCCGCAGCACACGGGGCTCGCGCCCGCCTGCCAACGGACCCCGCGCTGTCCTAGCTCGGGCACGGCGCTAAGTTCACCCAAAAGTGCATTTTTTTCCCTTATTCTTCTTTTTTTTTCCCCAACCGGTCGCCTCGGGTGGCAGAAGCCGCCGGGCCCCCGTCCCGCGGCTCCGCCCCGCTCCCCTCCTCTCCTCTCCCCTCACCTCAGCAGAGC